CACGGCGCTGCCGGCTGTGCCCGCAGACCGGGACGCTGACCCAGGAGGGGCTGGATGTGTGGGGAGTGGTGCCCCTGGAGCGGCAGAGCTTCCTGCCCATGGTGGCCGAGCCGCGCCGCCTGCCCGCCGGAGCGCTGCTCTACGCGCTGGCCAGCTGCCACGCCGTGTCGCCGCTGCGGGGACAGCTGGTCGGGGACCCCGTGGACATCAAAATGCTGGAATCCACCGGCTGGGTGAGGCGGGAGCTGGGCGGGGAGGTGTCGGGGGTGCCGCGTGGATGAGCTCGGCAGGGGTTTTTGTTCTCTCTGTTTTCAGCGGCTGGAGGTGATGGAGGAGGAGGAGGAGGAGGAGGAGGAAGCGCCGTTCCAGCGCTTCGGGATGAAGGTCTTGGCCGTGGTGAAACCCCCACCAGAGGAGGAGCAGCCTCAGGACAGGGTAAGGCCACGGAGCATCTCGCCCCACTCCTGCATCCCAGAGGAATTCCCGGCTCCGGGAGGGATCCCTGAGCCCGGCCGCTCTCCGCAGAGGCACCAGGCCCCCCTGGGGATCCTGCGGCGTTTCCCCTTCTCCTCCTCCCTGCAGAGGATGAGCGTCCTGGTCAAGCTGCCCGGGGAGGCCTCGGCACACGCCTACACCAAGGGCGCCCCGGAGATGGTGGCCAGTCTGTGCAGGAAGGAAACTGGTTTGTACTGGGAGGTGGGCTCACCCCCAGCCCCGCAGCCCTGCTGCTCATCCCACATGGAATTGTCCTCGGGAATGCTGTGGGGCAGCTCCAAAAGGCTTTTGGGGCGGCTCCAGCCACAGGAGGGAAAGGAAACGGGAGCCAGAAGATGGGGAGTGGGGTTGGGGGCTTCCCCCAGCCCAATTTGGGATTTCCAGGCTCCTTGGGGTGGGAAGAACTTCCCCCAGCCCAATTTGGGATTTCCAGGCTCCATGGGGTGGGAGAGCTTCCCCCAGCCCATCCTGGGCTCTCCAGGCTCGCTGAGGAGCGGCTGCTGGTGAAACCCAAACCCCAGAGCTCCGTGTCCCCTCTCCAGAGCCGTTCTGGCCTCACTTTTCCAGTGCCCCCGGATTTCTCCCAGATGCTCCGGCGCTACACCACCGACGGGTTCCGTGTCCTGGCGCTGGCCTGCAAAGCCCTGAGCTCGGTGGCCACCTTTGAGGAGGCCCTGCAGCTCCCCAGGTCGGTGCCAACGCTTCCTCTCTCCGCCTTCTCTCTCGCTCCCAGCGTTTCCTGCAGGGAATTCCACCCTGATCCATACGGGAGGGAATCCCTGGCTGGTTCCTTGATGGATTTTAGCTCTCCACACCCCTCGATCCTCCCTGCTGGTGTTGGAAAGCTCCTTGTCTCCCACCAGGGACTCGGTGGAGAGCGGCCTGAGCTTCCTGGGCTTCCTGGTGATGAGGAACGTCCTGAAGCCGGAGTCGGCGCCGGTGATCCAGCTGCTGCGGAGCGCCAACATCCGTCCTGTCATGGTGACAGGTGACCCTGGGGGGACAGCACACGGACAGCGCTGGGCGGTGGGTGACGGGAAAGGGCTTTCCCACCGGGAATCCCACCTGGAATCCCACCAGGAATCCCATCAGGAGCCCCACCCCGGGAATCCCACCAGGAATCCCACCAGGAACCCCACCAGGAATCCCATCAGGAATCCCACCCTGGGAATCCCACCAGGAATCCCACCCTGGGAATCCCACCGGGAATCCCATCAGGAGCCCCACCCCAGGAATCCCACCGGGAATCCCACCGGGAATCCCACCAGGAATCCCACCTGGAATCCCACCAGGAATCCCACCAGGAATCCCACCTGGAATCCCACCAGGAATCCATGTCTGAAGCAGCTGTGGGGGCACCACGAGGATTCCTGGATCCTGTGCATCCATCCCTGCCCGTGGATGCCAGATCCGCTGCTGGGCTCAGGGCGTGGCAGACCTCACTGTCCTGCTGTCCATCCCCTAAATATTGCTGTGGTGAAATCCCAAACTCCGTGGCTGATGGCTGGGTGCGGAGTCAGGAATCCACATTCCCTTGGGGCAGGGCGGGCAGGAGCTTCTGGAGAAGAGGGGAGGTGGCACCTTGGAGCTGCTCCTCTCATCCTGGGAATGCCAAAATCTCCTTCCTGAAGCCCCCCACCGTGTCCCTGGCAGGGGACAACATGCTGACGGCCATGAACGTGGCGCGGGGCTGCCGCATGCTGGAGCCCAGGGAGCGCGTGGTCTTCGTCACCGCCTCGCCGCCCGGCCACGACAAACCCGCCAGCCTCAAGTTCGTCCTGGCTGAGCATTCCCAGGGCGAGGAGCAGCCCGAGGTGAGAGCCCAGAGCAGTTTTTGGGAGCCCAGACTGGGTTTTTGTGGGATCACGGAGTTCCAGCGTCGTTGGTGTTGGTGGGATTTTAAGGCTCATCCCATTCCATGGGCATCTCCCACTATCCCAGGTGCTCCCAGCCCTGTCCAGCCTGGCCTTGGGCACTTCCAGGGATCCAGGGGCAGCCACAGCTGCTCTGGGCACCTGTGCCAGGGCCTCCCCACCCTCACAGGGAGGAATTCCTTCCCACTTTCCATGAAATGGAGTCCCTCAAATCCAGCTTTCTCCGCAGCCCTGGGAATCCCGGGATCCCGGAATGGGTTGGGTTGGAAGGGACCTGAAAGCTCATCCCATTCCATAGGCAGAGACACCTTCCACTATCCCAGAGTGCTCCAGCCTGGCCCTGAGGTGGGAAGGGGTTTTTCCAGCCTGGTTATTTTTATATTTATATTATCCTTGGAGGCAGTTACGGCTGTGACCCCGCTCCTCATAAATCCATCCTCCGGGAGCAGCTCCGGCCTTTCCCTGGGAGCGCAGCTCCAAACATCCCCTGCTGGATGCTGCCCCACTGGGATGGGGATTCTGGGGATCCCTTCCTGCTGCTCCATCCTGCAGGGCTGAGCTCTGGAGCTGTTTCCCAGCAGGGTCTGCAGCAGCGGGACAGCTCCTCCCTCCCAGCCCGGCACTGCCACTTGGCCCTCAACGGGAAATCCTTCCAGGTGGTGTGCGAGCACTTCGCCGAACTCCTGCCCAGGGTGAGGAGGGAACCTTCCAGGGATCCCAGGGTTCAGCAGGATCCCAGGGTTCAGCAGGGATCCCCAGGGTTCAGCAGGGATCCCAGGATTCAGCAGGATCCCAGGGTTCAGCAGGGATCCCCAGGGTTCAGCAGGGATCCCCAGGGTTCAGCAGGATCCCAGGGCTCAGCAGGGATCCCAGGGCTCAGCAGGGATCCCCAGGGTTCAGCAGGGATCCCCCCGTATGAGCTGGGAACCCTTCCACCCATTTGGACTCTCCGGGGTTTCACCTCACAGCTCCAAACCAGAGCTCCCTGCAGGGCTTTCTTGGGCTGCTCTGAGATTCCCTGTTCCCTGCTGGACATTCCCAGTGCCCTGCTGGACATTCCCTGTTCCCCACTGGACATTCCCTGTTCCCTGCTGGACATTCCCTGTTCCCCACTGGACATTCCCAGTGTCCTGCTGGACATTCCCTTTTCCCCACTGGACATTCCCTGTTCCCCACTGGACATTCCCAGTGCCCTGCTGGACATTCCCAGTGCCGTGTCCAGCCGGGAATGCCGCCGGACGCTGATGGACGTTTCCCGTTGTCAGATCCTGCTCCGGGCCACGGTGTTTGCGCGCATGCTGCCCGAGCAGAAGACACAGCTGGTGTGCAGCCTGCAGGAGCTGGAGTAAGATCCCGGGGGTGGATCCCGGGGGTGGATCCCGGGGGTGGATCCTGGGGGATGGATCCCAGGGGTGGATCCCGGGGGTGGATCCCAGGGGTGGATCCCGGGGGTGGATCCCGGGGGTGGATCCCGGGGTGGATCCAGGGATGGATCCCAGCGGATGGATCCGGGGATGGATCCTGGGGGTGGATCCCGGGGATGGATCCGGGGATGGATCCAGGGGTGGATCCCGGGGATGGATCCAGGGATGGATCCCAGGGGGTGGATCCCAGGGATGGATCCAGGGATGGATCCCGGGGGAGCAATCCTGGAATTCAAGCGTCCCTTTCCCCACTCCCTAAGGAATGTAGGGTTCTTTTCCCCATTCCCTGAGGAACATGGGATCCCTTTCTTGTATTCCCTAAGAAATGTGGGATCTCTTCCTCTGTTCCCTAAGAAATGTAAGATCCATTCCCTGAGGAATGCAGGATCCCTTTCCCGGATTCCCTGAGGAATGCAGGATCCCTTTCCTGGATTCCCTGAGGAATGTGGGGTCCCTTTCCTGGATTCCCTGAGGAATGTGGGGTCCCTTTCCCACAGCTACTGCGTGGGGATGTGCGGGGACGGCGCCAACGACTGTGGGGCGCTGCGGGCGGCCGACGTCGGCATCTCCCTGTCCGAGGCCGAGGCGTCGGTGGCCTCGCCCTTCACCTCCCGCGTGGCCACCATCGAGTGCGTGCCCAGGGTGATCCGGTGAGCGGGGGAATCCCAGGAATGCCGCCCTCCCCTCGGGATGGCTCCCAGGGAGGGGTGGCCGGTGGTGACGCCGTGTCCCCCATCTCCAGGGAGGGCCGGTGCTCCTTGGTCACCTCCTTTGGGGTCTTCAAGTACATGGCCCTGTACAGCCTGGTGCAGTTCGTGTCCGTGCTCCTGCTCTACACCGTGAGTGCCTCCCCCAGTTCCCGTTTCCCTCCAGGATTCCTTGTGGGGCTCCCTGAAAACAGAGGCCAGGATCCCTCCTGGATCCCTGTATTCCCAGATCCCTCCTGGATCCTCCTGCCCCCTTGATACTTTGCAGGGCTCCCTGAAAACAGAGGCCAGGCGAAATTAAGGGAATAAAAAGCAAAACTGCTTTTTATTTATTTACTGAAGGGCCTCAGGTGCGTTTTGGGCAGACCAAGCCCCCCAGGGGCTGCACCCAAAACGTTCCACGGCTCACTTTGGCTTTTCACACTTGTGTGAGTTTGGTCCATTGGCACACTGGGGGTTAATCCTGCAATTCCAGCCGCAGATAATGAAGTCATTTAGCCCAAGTTTGCTGTCCCCAACTCCCTTTTGTTTCCATTTCTGGGGCTCTGAGGCAGTGAGGTGTCCTCGACTGCCGGGCCTGGAGAGGAATTTTGTCTGCCCAAAGCGGGAGCGCTGACACCGTGTGTGGAGTTCTCTAGAGAGCTCCAGGATTACAAATCCACGAAAAAGCAGAAAATCCAATGAATCTGAGCCTCTCCCTCCCCTCCTCCCCAGATCAACACCAACCTGAGCGATTTCCAGTTCCTGTTCTTCGACCTGGTCATCACCACCACGGTGGCCGTGCTGATGGGGCGCGCGGGGCCAGCGCCGGCGCTGGGCGTGCGGCGGCCGCAGGGAGCCCTGATCAGCGCGCTGGTGCTGGGCAGCCTCCTGCTGCAGACAGCCCTGCTCATCGCCGTGCAGGTCCTCAGCTACTTCATCACCGTCTCACAGAGCTGGTGAGCGCCCGAAAATCCAAATCCCGAAATGCGGGAATCGCGGGATCGCGGGCTTGGAAAAGCTGACGGAGTCCGAGCGTCAGCCCCTGTTTGCCGCTGAGCCCCGACTGCTGCGAGCGTGGGTTTTTCTGGCGCTTCAGGGGTGGTGATTCCCCACCTGTCCTCCCCTTTTCCAGGGCTTTGCAGCCCTCCCCGTGAGGAAATCTTTCCCAATATCGCATCTGAACCTGCCCTGGTTCCCCGTGGGTTTGGCGATGGGGACGGTGCTGAGGTTGCTGCGCAGCCCAGGATTATTCTTATTCTTATTCTTATTCTTATTCTTATTCTTATTCTTATTCTTATTCTTATTCTTTTATTCTTATTCTTATTCTCATTCTTATTCTCATTGTTATTGTTATTGTTATTATTATTATACACTTTTCCTATCTAACTTTAACATTTGTTCTCATGTATCACCGTGAAAACACGCTCATGAATTTCATGTCATATGAAATTCAGTGTTTGAATCCTAGAACAAGCTTTATAAACAAGGGCACACACTCTGGATCTCAGACTCCAACAATGGAGAACAAGGGGTGGTGCTGTCCAGGCCCCCCCTGCCCGTCCTGCTGACCCTGTCCCCTCCCCAGGTACGTCCCCCTGAACAGCACGGTGACAGCGCCCCAGAACCTGCCCAACTACGAGAACACCGTCCTGTTCTGCGTCAGCGGCTTCCAGTACCTGATCCTGGCCGTGGCCATGTCCAAGGGCCACCCCTTCCGGGAGCCTCTCTACACCAACGGTGAGGACACGGCCGCGGCGAGGGCCACCAGCCCTCCTCCCGCCCCTCACCCCGTCCCCTCTCGCCCCCAGTGCTCTTCCTGCTCGTGCTCATCCTGCTCTTCGGCCTGATGGGCTGGCTGACCCTCTACCCCCTGGGCTTTCCCAAATCCCTGCTCAAGCTCCAGCCCATCGAGGATTTCAGTTTCAAGCTGCTCCTCTTGGGCATCGCCGCCCTCAACTTCTTCGCCGCCTTTGCGCTGGAGGTGGGTCAGGGGGGGGATTTGGGAGGGGTGGGCACGGGGCTCTCCTTTCCTCCCCCAACCCCGTTTCCCTGCCCGTTTCCCAGACCGCCCTGGATCACGGCTTGCTGGGCTGCTTCCGAAGGCTGCGCCGGAAAAAAGCCTCCAAGAAGCTTTTCAAGAGGCTGGAGAAGGAGCTGAGCCAGCAGCAGCCGGCCTGGCCGCCCCTGGAGCAGCCCCTGTTCGCCACACGCAGGATGTCCCTGGCTGTGAGATAGCAGTGCCAGCTGTGCCAGCTGTGCCCTCTGCCCCAGCCCTCGGACGCTTCCTTAATTTATTGATCCTGGAAAAAGCAGGGACACGGTGGGCGGGATCCCTCGGCATTGCAGATGTGAATCCTGTGGCCATATCCACATTGATCCCGTGGCCATCGTGATCCCATGGCCATGGTGATCCCATATCCACACTGATCCCATATCCTCTCTGATCCCATATCCACCCTGATCCCATATCCACCCTGATCCCATATCCCTGATCCCATATCCACCCTGATCCCATATCCACGCTGATCCCATGGCCATGGTGATCCCATATCCACTCTGATCCCATATCCATCCTGATCCCATATCCACCCTGATCCCATATTCACCCTGATCCCATATCCATGCTGATCCCATATCCACCCTGATCCCATATCCATGGTGATCCCATATCCATGGTGATCCCATATCCACACTGATCCCTTATCCACCCTGATCCCATATCCATGGTGATCCCATATCCATGGTGATCCCATATCCACCCTGATCCCATATCCACCCTGATCCCATATCCATGCTGATCCCATATCCCTGATCCCATATCCATGCTGATCCCATATCCATGCTGATCCCATATCCACCCTGATCCCATATCCACCCTGATCCCATATCCACGCTGACCCCATGGCCACAGCAGGAGGAGGAGGAGGAGGAGGATCAGGCGAGGAGATCCAGAGGAAGAGGAGGATCCATCCCAGCTCTTCCCGCAGGATTCCCCCACTCCCCCTGTCTGGGGGCCGGGGGGGGTCCCTGGTGTCCCCAGCCCCCCCAGCAGTGTCACTGTGACCCCAAACCCCCCCTAGATGTGTAGGGAGTTTACATCCCCGCCCTGCCAAGGCTCCATCCCCATCCCTTCTCCGCTGGGAATGCTCGGGCAGAGCCCCTCTGCTTCGGGCCGGGACCTCTGCAGTGCTCCACACCCCACAAATTCTATTTTTGAACTCTCCCCCGGGGCTCTCAGGCTCTTCTCCAATAAATTAACACTTTATTTTCTCGGCTGCTCGTCCCTGCTGCCCGCTGGGGGTGGGGATGGGGCAGGAGGAGGTTTTGGGGTCACCTCCTTTTCCCAGCCGGGCTGGATGCTCGAAAGCAGGGAGCGGAGCCAGGGATGACATCCCAAAACCCATCAATCCCAATAAAAAAAAAAAAAAACCCAAACGGAGCGACCTCGCTCCAGCTGGAATTTCCTCGAAAATAACAACAAGGGCTGGAAAAAGCCCAGGTGTCCTGGCCGAGACCGCGGAACCACCGAGGAAAAACCGGAGCCGCCGCATCCCCGAGGAAGGATCCCGCATCCCCATCCCCATCCCGGCCTTTTCCCGCTGCCGCTTCCTGCCGGGATCCGCTTCCATGGAAAAGCCGAGCCCCCCCGAGCGCCTCCCTGCCCCGGGGAGCCGGGGATTAGCTCAGGAAATGAGGCACAAAAAAAGGTAAGAGAGGTTTCCTGCAGGCCCGGCCAAGGCTGCGCTGCTGAATCCAGGATTCCCGAGCCTTGGAAAAAACCCTCCGCGCCCCTTCTTGGCGCTTTTCAGAGCCCGGAGACGTTTTCCCGTCGGGATTTCCTCCGGGGGGGTTCGGCTGGGAGGGCGTGCAGAGTTACTGAATTATTGAATTATTAATTATATTAATGATTAGTTATATTAATTATTGACGGGCGGCTCGCGGATGGAGGCGAGCAGGGCTGAGGATAAAGCTGCAGGAGGGGCCGGCAGAAGCTCGGGGGGAGTTTTTGGGGTCCTTGGGGTGGTTTCATCCATCCTTCAGCCCGAAAAACCAGAGAGGAGTTGAGAAGCGCCTTCCAGCCCCGTCTGTCTCTCAGCCCGCTCTGAAAAATCCCTTTTTCCCCGCGTTTTGCAGCTCTCGGCCCCTGTCCTGCTGCTCAGCCAGGAATCCAACCCCACGGGAGAAAATCTCTGCTCATCCCCATTCCCATCTCCAGACACCTCCTGTCTCCAGCTCTCCCTTCGCTCCTTTCCTGCCTTTTCACCCCAAACCTGCGGGGTTCGCCCCCCGGCCCCGGCTCCGCGTCCCTGCCGAGCTCGGTGGGCTTTGGGATCATCCCGATCCCTCCGGGAATGCGCCAGGAGCGGGGAAAGGGGCCCCAGGCCGGCCCGGGGGGGCTGCGGAGCCTCCGCCAGCCCCGCCCCGCCGGGAACAGCGGCATTTGGGGCATTTGGGACATTTGGGACATTTGGGGCATTTGGGGCATTTGGGACATTTGGGGGATTTGGGGTATTTGGGGCATTTGGGGCATTTGGGACATTTGGGTCCTTTTGGGGGATTTGGGTCCTTTTGGGGATAAATCCCCCTCGGGGCTGCAGCATCCTCGCTGCTGCGGGGGAATCGGGATCCAGCCGTGCCTCGGGAGGGGAGCCGTGATCCCAGCATCCCAAATTTTGGGGTGTTTTTACTCCAGGAGGTGACAGAAACCCCACCCTGAGCTGCTCCTTCCACCCCTCCCTCCCTCTCTCCCCGCGGCCCCACAAACCCCGGCCCGCTCCGTGCGGCTTCCTCGGATCCAAAACTCATCCAGACGGGAAAAAAACCCCAAAAAACCCCTCGGTGCACCCCGGTCCCGGCAGCAGAGCTTCTTTTTGGGGGGTTTTGGGGGGTTTTGCGGGTTTTTGTGGGTTTTTGTGGGTTTTTGTGGGTTTTTGTGGGTTTTTCCCGGGTTTTTGTGGATTTTTGCGGGTTTTTGCGGGTTTTTGCGGGTTTTTGTGGGTTTTTGCGGGTTTTTGCGGGTTTTTGCGGGTTTTTGCAGGTTTTTGTGGGTTTTTGTGGGTTTTTCCCGGGTTTTTGTGGGTTTTTGCAGGTTTTTGTGGGTTTTCCCCGGGTTTTTGCGGGTTTTTGTGGGGTTTTGCGGGTTTTTGTGGATTTTTGTGGGTTTTTGTGGGTTTTCCCCGGGTTTTTGCGGGTTTTTGTGGGGTTTTGCGGGTTTTTGTGGGTTTTTGTCGGTTTTTGTGGGTTATTGTGGGTTTTTGTGGGTTTTTCTCGGGTTTTTGTGGGGTTTTGCGGGTTTTTGTGGGTTTTTGTGGGTTTTTCCCGGGGTTTTGTGGATTTTTGCGGGTTTTTGTGGGTTTTTGTGAGTTTTTGTGGATTTTTGTGGGTTTTCCCCGGGTTTCCCCCTCCCCATCGCGGGAGGAGGAAGGGGCCGGCTCAGGTGTGGCTTTAGGACCCAGCGGATCCCCCGTGCTGGAGGTTGGAGCTTTTTAGGGGTTGTATTTTTTTTTTTTTTCTGGGTTTTTTTTTGGTTTTTTTTGACTCTCATTTCAAGAGTTTTGGAGAAGCAGAGAGAGGAGAGCGAGGCGGTGGGCGAGGGCAGAGCCGGCACTCACTGGTAAGGAGCAGACCAGGGAAAAACCCCCTCCCCAATTCCCAGGAATTCCGGGGACCCCCCCCTCCTCCCCAGCAGCAAACCGGGGCTGAACCCCCATTTCGGGGGGGCTTTGTGAAACCTCCAGCGGTTGGGAGCTTGGAAAAACCATGGGAAAAAAAAAAGTTTCGACTTTTTAACCTCACAAACCCTCGATTTTTGGGGGGCTGAGGGAGCGGCAGCCCGGGTGGGGGGCAAGGGGGGCCCTTCTTTGAGGCCTGACAGTTGTTGGAGATTTTTAACCACTTCCAAAAAGTCTAAAAATACCCCAAAAACCTGGAGGAAGCTGTGGGTTTGTCGGTTGGGATTTTTTTCTTTTTCCCCTCGTTTTTCCACCCTGGAAAAGGATCTTTTATTCCGATTTATTTTGGGGGATGGGGCCCCCCTGAGGAAAAGGTGATGTGTGAAAACGGGGATGGGGGCACCGAGCTCTTTACCTCTGGTCAGGGGCCAAAATAAATGGAATCCTTAAATATTCCCTTTGTTCTCCAACTCTCTGGCAAGGAGAGAGCTTTAAAAAAAAAAAAAAAAAAAAAAAATTTAAAAAAAGCGAAACAAAAAGAATGAAAGAAAAAGAAAAGAAAGGAAAATTGGAGGGGGGGGGGAAGCTGGGGGAAGGAGGAGAGGCTGGGGGAAGG